AACCCAGTATATTCAGTTCTATGTATGAGGTACTACGATACTTTCTACCCTCTTCTATTTTGTGTTCTACGCACCGTGGCTGGTCCCACTAGTTGAAACAGTGACTGGACAGCTGACCAGCACAAAAGATCCCAAGGATGCATTTTTTAGTGGCCTTTACTCCTTCTCTCAGCCTCAAGGCCAGCTCAGGAAAGGCCAATGGATCTGCTCTTAGGAAGAATGAGAAAGTCTCCCGATCTGGCCATTCCTCACTGTGCTAACAATGCTATTTCCCCTTCCTTCTGCTGCTTGAATGCTGATGTCCTTTGTCTCCACTCTGAATACATTTGTTTCTAGAGTATTCAGTCATTCATAAAACCTTCTAGGCCTCAGTTCTCAATGCCCAGAAGCCTCACATCTCCAACTAAACTGTCTCATAGACTTCAAACACATTAGATCCCAAACTATTCATCATCCCTCTTCGTGACCCCTTTCTTAATCTTCCCTATTGTGTATATTTAATATATATAGTTTTTCTTATGTTAGCTTTTCTTTTTGTATTAGACCAAAAAAAAAGGGGGGGGGAGATTTGTGGTGATAGATTATTTATGATTTAGTAAAGCTTGCCTGAGGATTCAGAAAGCAAAGTCAGCCACAAGACATAGAAGTCAGGCACACACCTTTAATCCCAGCAGCCAGAAGCTAGGAGGTGGTGGTACACACCTTTACTCCTAGGACTCGGGATTAAGAGGTACATGGATCTCTGAGAGTCCAAGGCCACTCAGAGATGCACGAGATTGATCCAGTCCTAAAGAGAAGCAGCTCACACAAAGATGAGCTCAGCACCTGGGATCCCTCGCCTTTAATTCCAGCATTAGGGAGGTGTGTAAGACAGGAGCAAGGTCTCAGTAGGAAGCATTCATTCTCCAGTCACACTGAGAATAGGACACCGAGCCCTTTCAGAGGTGAGAGCTCTCTGGTATCTTGGCTGCTTTGCTTCCCTAATGGTCACATTGAACCCCAATATCTGCCTTTTATATGGGTCTTTTATAAATTCGTGTTACACTTCCCCCACTTTCCTAATCTCAAAGAATCCCAAGCCACAAACCTTTGGGTCATTATTTTCAATGTGTCCGTTCCTTCACCTCTGCGCTCAATGGCTTTGCACTCCAACCTTCTTAACATGCAGGAATGATAAGAAACATGCAACAGTCGACACTCTACATAAAAGTTCTATCTTGGGCTGGGAAGGTAGCTCAGTTGCAGGGTACTTACCCAGTGTGCCGTGCCTTGGGATTGGTCCCAAGCACTGGGGAATGGAGGGAGGCCACGCCCTGTGGCGTAAATCGCCCATTCTAACAATCTGAAGCAGTCAAGCTGATGCCCCATGGTGGAGCTGGGAAGACATTCGTGCCCACAAATGGTTCCTGCATACCCTTGTCTGTCTTCCTCTTGGCATCTGCTAGACCAGCCTAATTCAGGGTTCTGTCTTCTCCACAGATAGCGCAACATGTGCTTTCTGATTTCCTGATTTCAATCACCCTCAGATCCCATCTGTTCATCGGATACAGTCTCCACATAGCACTCTGAAATCCAGAACCCACTGTTGTTACTGCCTCTTCACAAACATGGCTTTTGATGACTTGGTTGGGTCTTCCTGAATCTTGGTTTTCATGCCTTGCAGCACTTACACCCAACACTTCTAATTTCCGACACGCTGATGTGTGCAACACTCCCAAACACACACCGGTGAGCATACTGAGCTCATGGTACTTGTTACCTAGAACACCACTCTGAAAAATGTGCACGGAGCAAGCAGCTGCTCACCCCTCAAATGCAGCTCAAAACCCTTCCCTCGGAAGCTTCTCCTAGACTGGAAATACATTTGCCTGGTGTGAGCAAGACCCCATATTCAATCTCAGTTCCCACTCCACCCCTCACCCCCAGAGTTTTCCCAGTTTTTACACTCGTAGTGCATTTGGCCCTTCGCCACCCATTGTTCAATTGAATTATTCTCATATTTATCTCACTAGATGGGAGCTTAGCATGTGCCAATCACATGGCACAGAGATGGTACACAGTAGGCTGTCAATAAATGATCGCTATCATTATCTAGCACTCTAAAACCAGCACACACGGATGGCTCAGTAAACACCAATTGAAAGAAATGTATCAGGATGCCCTTGGCATCTATCAAGACAGGATAAATGCTACATTATTAATTAGTACATTCTAGATCGTTAGAGAATCCAAGATGTTCATCTATAGTGAAGAACGGGCAATCGGATGTTTTCACCTTCATCTCTATGGGAGTTTGAGTAAGAATGACCCCATAGGTTCATACATTTGTATACTTAGGGGGTGGCACTATTTGGAAGGATTAGGTGCAGCCTTGCTGGAGGATGTGTGTCACTGAGGATGTGCTCCAAGGTTTCAAACTCCCAAGCCAGGCCCAGTGGCTCCCTCTGCCTACTGCCTGTGGATGTAAAGGAAGAACTCCCAGCTGCTTTTGCCTGAGCGCTGCCATGCTCTCTGTCATGAGGATAATGGGCTAAACCTCTGAAACTGTAAGCGAGCCCCAAATGCTTTCTTTGTTAGGAATTGCCATGGTCCTGGTGTCTAATCACATCAATGGAACTTTGACTAAGAAATAAATAGGGGAAGAAAGACAAGAAATTTGAGTTCCTTGCCCTAAATCAATGGTAGTTCTAGGAAATATGGGAAGAAAGGAAGGAAATATGCAGATGACAAGATGGGGACCAAGAAAACTGGGAGAAGCCCGACCCCATAAGTGCCTGCCTCCCTGACAAAGACACCCTGGGAAAAAGCCAGAGAGTGATCAAATAACTTTGCCTTTATTCCAGGGGCAAAAGCAGGGCACCAAAATGCAAGGTCAGAAGACGGCAGAGAAACAAGGCTTCCTTCTGAGAGAGACCCCCAGGCTCAGCCCACTGAAAGGAGAAAACCCCTGCAGACCATCGGCTCATAAAGTAAAACTCAGCCACTGCTCCAAAATCAACCTGCATATAGCCCAGCCCCCATACCAGCAGAATGTGGCCTCTAACACAATACGTTCCTGTCAGAAAAGCCATGAAGCGACAGAGAAGGTTCAGCAGTTGCTAGGCAGAGGGAAAGTGTACTTGTTACAGGTCTCTGACACTGAAGCAGGTAAACAAAGTCTAACCCTGGGATAGTAACCCCAGTAACCAGCAATTCACACCCAGATTAAGGGTGTAAACAATGTCCATAGAGATACGGGGCAGACCCCAAGGGTATCCCGTGTATACAACAGCCGGGTGTGAAGGCAAGTGCCTGTAGTCCCAGCACTTGGGAGGAAGGAGAAAGATCAGGAGTTCAAGGTCATCCTCCAATATACAGTGAATCTGAAATCAGCTTGGGCTACAAAACAAAAACAACCAACAACAAAAGTGTATGCTACAGGGAGAAAAAAAAAACAGATAAAGATTAATTCAAAGACAGAGTATGTGATTGACACCAACATGGGAGGAAATTCTATTTCTTGTGTTATAAGAATAGCTTTGATTTAAAATGGGTCTGAATCTTGTAAGACCATGAATCTGAGAGGTACCTACTCCCATCAGTGTAAAGACCAAGCATCAGAAGAGCCATGTGGAAAGGGGCTGTTGCACAGAGACCTGCCACCTTGTGCCTTCTTCAAGGAGAAAAAAAGGCATGGCTACTGCTGCACCAGTCTGGGAGCGCCACTGTTAGCTCCTCCCATGGTCTCTGAGAAGCAATGAGGCCATGAGCATCCTCCTCTCAGCCTTCCTGTGGATCTCCCAAATGCAACACAATTCCCATTGCATTTCTATTATCTTACAAAGAGTCACGTGGCAACAGAGAACTTTCTAACTCCACAGACACAGAGGCAAGACTGCCTCCTCACTGAGTGGGGAAGGCAATGTGTGATTTTTCCACTGTTACCATTAGCTGCCTTGAGAAAACAACATTAGAGACGAATTAGAAGAAATATTTGTGTTATGTGGGATCAGCAGAAACATGGCATATGGGAGGGGGGGCAGGGGTGGGGGCAGGGGCGGG